AACAATTCAAAAAAAGTCTTCCCAGGATGAGATGGATCTTTGAGGATGTTTTGAACTTTCTTAAGGCATTGGGAGCTATAAAGCTCTTCCAAAGAGGGGAGAGGGTAACCAATGATCTTCTGGGCAATGACATTAACCTTCTGGAGTGCTTTCCTATCTGCTCCTGTGCAATTGGCAAACCATACAGGTGTGCAGTAAGTTAAAATACTCTTTATGGTGCAGCGGTAGAAGGTCACTAGCAGTTTTTCATTCAGTTGTTGTTTTCTGAGAAGTCTCAGGTAGCATAATCTTTGCTGGGCCCTTTTGACCAGGGCTGCAATGTGAACAACTTTTTACTGTTTCATGCAAAAAAAAGTCTACGAAGGGTTTGCCCCAAGCCATGAATGTTTTTCCTCTAATCAAGGAAGTCAACTTAGCCATCTCTGCAAGTTCCATCACCTTCACCAGCCATTCCTCCATTCCAGTTAGTGTGTCAAACCTTTCCATCTTCGAGCATATAATAATCTCACTGCAGTTGTCCCATATAAAGAGAAACGTCCCTGACTTTGCCAGTTGCCAAGACAGCAGCCTTTTCCCCCCAGATCAATCTGGATCAGAAATTCTACCTGGGACATTCCAGATATAAGGATGCTCTTACTGAGCAATAACCTTTCCCCACAAACTTTCGCTGAAATAAAATGAGGTATTTAGTAATGCTTAATTGTTTTTCTTCCATAAATAGAGCTCTCACAGAACACGCACAGCCTTAGCTTAGTTAGCCATATTTAGGTGAAGGTAAAACCCCTTCTAAAGGCTTAGGTTCTAGTGATTTCATGAATGCATCCATGAAGTCTTCTGGACAACAATATGGGAGAAATTCATCATTCTCTTTTTCCAATATATTTTACAATCATTTGCTTCAGTCTACTACTCTTTGGTATTTCTTGATACTCTTCCATTCACTGTTAACTTGATCCAACTCTACTTAGTTTTTGAACAACAGCAGTGGTTGGACATCTAACTGGGCACCTATGTTTATTTTGTCTGAATGACTGCCTCGTGGGCTTTAATGGGGAGAAGGAGAACATGGAGTCTCTTAAGGTTAGGGAGATGTTGAGGGCCCCATAAAGCAGACTAACTTCTTAGCTCCCTGATGCAACATGGTGTGACCACTAGGAAGTTAACCTCTGTAGAATGGTTCCCCCAATCCTCAACCCATAGAGTCAACTCAGAAGGATAGCTTGGTCAATGATATCTAAAGCCATTGAAGCACAAATATACCATCACTATCCTGACTCCATCACAGGTCATAAATAAGCACAACCAAAGCTGTCTCGCAACTAAATCCAGTCCTGAAAGCTGATTGAAATGGGTAGTCTAGATAATCTATTTCCTTCAAAGTTCTGATGAGCTTCAGGCTGAGCACTTTTTCAACAACCTTCTCCAGAAACAGAAGATTGAAGACGGGTTGATAGTTTTTGAAGACCATTGTAGCCAAAGCCAGCCTCTTGAGGAGAGGATATTAATTCTTTTTTTTTTTATTCAAAGGCATCTTAGAAAGAAATAAGGTAGAAGGGCTTGGGATCTGACATCCATAGAATAACTCTAAAACTGGGCCAATATCTGTGTAGTAGAAGTCAAAATAGTTGAGACATTAGAGAATACTGATCAATCCTTGATGACTACAAATCACCTGGACAGATTATTTATTTCACAGGGCTCACAGATCTTCACAGGTCACCAAGGTGACAATTCAGGCAACATCCAACTGGATTTGTGCTCATCTGAAAACCTGAGTGGGTCACTGAGAAGATTGCTCAGAACCATCCCGGAAGCAGACTCTCATTTCTACAAACATTCATTCCAAACTAGGAGCAAAGTAAACTTGATGGGCAAGAGCCATTGGGTGGGGCACAAGCTGTAGAATTCCACAACTCCCTCCAAAACGCATGAAGAGAAGTGGAACTTGTTCTACTGATGTCCCAAACACTCAACTAAGTCACGCAGCTAAGTCACAGGTGAATGGCAGAAGCACAACACTCGTCGCTATAGCATTTGTATACAGAAAAATGATGTAGACCAAGGGTCTTCGAACTTGGCACGTTTAAGACTTGTGGACTTCAACTCCCAGAATTCCTGAGCTAACATGACTGGAGGAGGAATTCTGGGAGTTGAGGTCCACAAGTCTTAAAGCTGTCAAGTTTGAAGACCTCTGATATAGAATGAGTGGTATCATTAATCATCAGCCACTTTGACTACCAGTTACAGAAGCTGGTTGCCTAACACGTTTGGTGGACACCAAGATAGGGGAGAGTAGAAGATGAAGGAACAGCATCATCATGACCTCAATCAGCTCAGAAACTCGCTTTGCAACCATCCCAGATACAGGCAGTCCTTGACTTCCTGCCAAAATTGGGGGCCAGAATTTCTGCTGCTAATCCATCCCCTCCCACTTGTGACTGTATGACTGTAACTTTGTCGCTTGTACCCTTGTGATTTATATGGACTGTTTCCTAGTATGATTTGATTGCTTGTTGTACCCTATGACTATTATTATTGTACCTTATGATTCTTGACTCTTGTCGAATGTATCTTTTCTTTTGTGTACAATGAGAGCATGTGCACCAAGACAAATTCCTTGTGTGTCCAATCACACTTGGCCAATAAAGAATTCTATTCTATTCTATTCTATTCTATTCTATTCTATTCTATTCTAT